TTTTTTTTTTACACACTTCAATATTGCTTTAACAGCCCAAAAAATGATGGAAAAAATTGGAATTTTTTTCTATTCATTTATTTCTGTCATTTTTGTGATCAATTTTTGTAGTTTTCTCTGATATGTTCCTGGTCTTTCACTTGACTCTGTAACGAACGCTATCGCGCCTTAAGCGAGTGTAGTCGTGCACAAGCAACATGTTCTCGCACGAAGCTTTTGGTTGACAAACTGACATGGTCTTAACCTGACAGCAACGGTAGCACGGTTCAGTACATCTTGCATTTCATAGGCCAACATGTTGGCTGTTGTTTGCTGGTCTGCTGTATTTGCTGTATCAGTACGGAAGGGAAACTGAACTTTTCACTATCCAAACATTTTCTGCAGTCTTTTCAACTAACTTAATACCACCAGTTTGTTCATCAAAAAATCTCTAAGATTAAAAGGGAAAAGCTGAAAGAAAGTGAATGAATAAAAAAACAGTGGGATAACAAATTACTCTTTTTCTACAATAATCTGTATAATCGCCACTTATCGTGGTCTAAGCACTTATCATTTATATGTTTCGCATAATCATTCAACATGTTTGATAGGTACAGAAGAAATGCAAACATTTTTGGCTTTACCAATTAATACATTAAAAAAAAAGGAAGAGGAACTAAAGACTAGAGACTTTATTTAGCAACTTTTCTGTTTCTTTGCCTAAAAACAGGCGCTTATTTACGGTTTTGTCAACGATAGTTTTTGTTTTTTTTTCCTTCTTCATTTCATCTGTTTTTTGTTTCCTTCTTTAGTCTTTGCTGGTGAGTGTTAAAATATTGTCATTGACAACCAGTTGATTAATACTGCCGACGCTGTTGTATGATAGATGTGTTCGCCGTTATCGTTATTTAAACGCTCAATTTTTGTGTTTTATTTATTTTTCTGCAAAATAACCTTTTTTTCATTATTTTTCCAATGTTTTAATAATTTTTTTTAGGTGTCCAAATGGCTTTGAATTGTTTTAATATTGTTGTTTTTGTTATTGTTTTTGCTTAGCTTCATCTTTCCGTTGTTCTAGTGTTGTTACTAAAACAATTTAAATATCAAACAGAATTTTGCAGAATAACACTTCTTAAAATGCATTTATTTACTCAACAACAGTTTCTTGCTGTCTAAAACGATCTTTTTTTTCATAGGTTTCTGCATAATTTATTGATGTTGCAAAACTAATGATTTATTTGAGCACAAAGAAGAGGCATTAAAACAATTCTTTTTATTGGTAAATCATTACTAAACTGTCAAATTTACCAAAAACTACAAAAAACTGATACCGTAACTTCAGAAGTTGGTACGGGTAAAATTTGAAATAACTGTTGTAACTGTTGTTTCATTATTCTATTTTCTCTTAGCTGCTTATTGGTAGCACACCCCTGTTGTCGAGGAATTAGATTTGGTGTCTAAGCGGTCTTTAGTCCATTTGTGAAACCACTTTCAAGACTTTGACTAATATTTGGTGTTTTTTTGGATGAGAATTTTTATAGAATGCAAAAATTTAAGTACAAATTTGCTGAAACTATTTTTAGATATTGTTAGTTAAAACTATAAGAGTGGTGACTTCTCATGAAACTTTATAGGAATCTTAAAGTTGTTTTATTCCATTAGGTTACAGTTTTCGATATAATGCTGCTAATTTTAAAAAGCCTGTTCCATACGGTAAATTATTATTAGGGTTTCAGCCTGGATTCTGGGAATCCTCTGAGACTTTCAGTCACCACAGTGCAGACAAAAAATATTTTCTGTGCTTTAATAGGTCTTCATCAGTAAGTTACGCTGTTTTCTGGACGAAATTGTGACCGTCATTGTAGCGAAATATTGTACTGAACTAAGAACGAGTCAAAAACTGCGAAGAAGGTTGAGGAAAAATGAAACTTCTTGTTTCTTTGGCTAGCATGCTCGCTGCGGTAGCAGCTTTCCAGATTGAGGTTGAGCCACTTGTCTTTCTGATGGCCGCTTGTAATTCAGCTAGGTTTGTTTTCGTGTGAAAATTGTTTAGTTTTGTTCATTTCGTCTTTTAAATCTATAAGTTTTAATAGCTGAGTTTTAACATATCAAAAGTTTAGAAACGAAAATAGGAAAAAACACTTTAGTTTGGTTCATAGTTATGATGTTTTTAGTTAAAATCAAACAAATGAGATTTTAACTGGTCTAGTAATTTCAAAAAAATTATGTATTATGGATGATTTAATAACTAATATGCTTCTTCCTGCAGACAAACAGTAACACCGCAGCTAATGCAAGAAAAAATGGAAAGAACCTATACAGCGCCAGAAAATTTGACTGGAAAAAATTTAAAGAAATTTTATAATAAAAAAATGGTTTACTGGGATCAGTATTACGAATATATAAATATGCCTTTGTCATGCATTTTAGGAATACTCTATGGTAAGCAGTTAATAGACTGTTGATAAAAATTGGTTTTTTATCATCGTTTAGACTTAGATTTTTCAAGGATCTTGCAGCTACAAAAAAAAATAATCACAACTTTAAAAACTAAAGCTTTTCGAAATCTGTATTTATTAACCACACAACTTCACAGTTTTAGAAATTAAGAAACTCGACATCAATTTTTTACTTGATAATGCACAGTTTTTAAGGTGCTTACAGTGATTATATGGGCCGAAAGCTGCCGCTTCTAATAGGGATGGCTAGCGTTGCGGTGGATACAGCATTTCATATGCTTGTCTTAGGCCCATCGGTAAACTCTCCATCTTGAAGGTTTTCAGGTGCATTAGTTAATACAATTTGCTTTTACTGACTAGTCAAACAAGTGGGCCTGAAAAATGAGAGCTACAAGTATTCCAAAGTTGAAGTTTTGTTCTATAATCGTTTTGCTACAGAAATACGACCATTAGTAGTTATCATGCGATTTTTAAAGTTGAAGTAAATTCTTTTTAAGTTGTGACAGCAATTTTCGTATCATTTTTAGTGACTGTTATGCTGAGCTAACATTTCAAAACTTTTCAGGTAGATCTTTCGCTGTATTTTTTGCTTGTCGATGCTTTTTTCACAGCATTTATGGGTAATTTTAGTTTATTTATGAGCGCCTGTAATGCCTATATGGCTGATACATTTCCAGTCAAGAAAACGGTAAGTAGGCGCTGTTGTAAATTTCCACCTTTTTGTCTTGATTATTTTGATAAAAATCAATAAATCAGTTTTTTTACAGCTTTCTAAACGAATGGTAATTGTATCAGTTTCATTCAGTGCCGGTGCTCTTTCTGGTTCTTCGCTTACAAGGGCTGTGGTCAAACATTTAAGTCCTATAAAAGTAATGTTGATTTCTCAATGTTGCGTTTCTCTTGCCGTTTTGTATGCGTTAGCAGTTATCAAAGTGAAAGAACCGGGCAAGAAATCGTTGCTAACTGATCAGGGCGAGGAACATCCAGAAATAAGGCAACAAAAAAAATTGTATGCTGATTTATCAAAATCTAGTTGAATTAATGGCTCATCTAGACCGTATCGGTACTTAAATAAAACCATAATTTTTCCTTCGAAACATTTTTGACAAACAAGACTTCTCTGCTGTTACAAAATACTTGTAACTTCACTGCTTTTTTCAGCCTAATGAAAAAACAAAATTTTGTCAGAAGCTTTTCGACATGTTTGCTTGTCGGTGTCTACGTTTAACTTTCTTTAGCATATCTCCTCTTCATGTATTCAAAAATTCTATAAAATCTTTTGCGGACTCAGTAAAGATTTTCTTGGTACCACGTGAAGGTCATCGTCGATGCTTCTTATATCTGACTATTCTGGTTGCCTTTTTAGACCAGTTTGTATTTGGGGAGGAAAAATGTATGTTGAAATTCTATTACTTTTCTCATAAGCTCATGGACTTATTTATTGTAAAACTGCAAAGCTTTAGCTCTGATTGGCACTTATACTCGACTACCACCATTTAATTGGAAAACCGAAGACTATGCTTTATATAAAACGATCCGGTCGATTAACCGTAAATATTTTTCTAGTAGAGCAGCAACTGCTGTTATCTTTTTTTTTTCTCTAGATGCTTTTTGTTAATACATGTATTTTAATCACTCAGAAATCTTTTGGATGTTCTTTGGTCTTCTTGTCTTCAAGCAGTTCCTAAAATTGACTGATACAATGATCATCGTGCTAAGCATTCTCTCAATGGGATTATGTGGTTTGGTTGTTGGTCTTGCCCAAAAATCTTGGCAAATCTACGTGTCAATACCAATTGGAGGTCTTCATGGACTACTGAATCCGTTGACGCTGACATTCATATCGTGTCTTGTAAATGCTGACGAAGTATGCCTGTTAAATTTAGCAATGACAATGAAACTTTCATAAAACGATGGGTGTTCAAATAGTTTTTCCTATAGTCTTTTCATTTGGTCAAAGATTTTTTTCAGGTCGGTAAGGCATTTGCGGTCAATTCAATAGGTGGAAAGTTAGCCGGCATTGCTCAAAATGCAATACTGAATAATATCTATACCGCAACAATAGTCTGGTGGCAGGTAGTGGAGTCTAAGACTTTTGATTTTTTAATCAATGAGAAATGAAATACATTGGCATAGAATTGTTTTTTGAACTCGACTAAGTAAACAGATATATTGTATTATAATTAATAAATTTTACAATAGGGATTCGTCTGGGTTCTAATGGCTGGGATTAGTGTTGTTGCTGCTCTGATCATCCTGGTTATTCATTTTGTTGCTAAACGTGAGAAGATTGGAGCCTGAGATGGATAATGGTCGGGCAAAACTGAAGGAGTCTAGTCAAATGGAATACAAGATTATCTCGTATCTTTACAAAGTATGTTTGATAAATAAAATGGATAAAAAAGGGGCTCAAACTCATAACTGTTGTTTTTTTCTGTTTATTATTTGTAGATATGAATGATTAGAAGTACCACTGTAAACTAGTATCACTGGGCTTTAGCTGGTTTATTGATTATGCTTTGTAGAAGAACTTTTACAGTGACTATTGTTAAACCTAATTTGATCAGTATTAATTTCTTAAAATTGAATTTGTTTATGCAAAAGAGTTTTTGAAATAAGTTTACTGTGAACACTGCTCAGATGTTATTATTTAATTGTTGATGGCAAGTTTTGTT